TAAAATTTCTTGACAATGATCAGGTTGGCATATATCCATAAGGCAGCTAAAGACGGTCTACAGTTCATTTTAGGGCATCCTTTTAACTTCTAAGGCTCTAGGGGCTAAATTTGAATTGCCTTCGCAGACAACATCGGCGGACTTGTTTTACGCATAGTATTACTGTATTAGATAATAATCGACATTGTGATAAATAAGATTTAATAAGTTTATCTTCTCAGTGTTGAACAATGCGACGCTTTGGCTCTGCTCGTCCCAATTCTTATTTTCATGTTTAACAATACGAATATGCTTAGATCACACACACTAGCTGAAAAGTCTGATTGGATGAATTCTTTTGGAGATCCAACTTACCAAATGAGTCAATCGTGTTTAACTCTTAAAAGTTTATGAAAAGAATCAAAGTTACAGCAACATATTGTCGAAAATCCCAAAAAAAGAAGAAGCAAATTAATATGTGTGATAACATTTAAGACTTTGACTCTCCTTTTACAGAATAACTTTTAAGATGAAAACTCAAATCTTAATAATATATTCTTTTCGTGCTATTGAGAACTATTTCTTGATCTTTAGTCAAAGCTCTATACGTTTGACAATGTACTTTTTAAAGTTTAAACTTTGAGCATTGACGGCTCAAAAAGTCTTTTTTCATTTTATCAAAAAAATGAATCGAAATAAGATATCGACGGTTGTGAACTACATAGTCTAGATACAAGGGGAACTTTTTTGTTCCATCAGTACGTGACTTATGGTAGTTTCACCTTTTTCTACATAGTGTATATGCGAGAATGATATATCCACAAAGATTTGTAAACCAATCTTAGTCAATAACTCGATTTTGAACCAAGGACATCACTTTTTTGAGTAGAAATGGGCTTATGAGCAAAACTCAGAATAAGTACAGTTCATTAGCACAGGTTGAGTTCACAAGCCAGATTAAATATACTAAAAGAATTGGAAGAGAGTCAACCTTTTTTTTCCTTTATATTAATTGATTGCAACTTGATATACATACAGATTGAAACATGATACAAAAGGAAAGCTAAAAAGACAACAAAGTGCACGTGGCACTATCACTAAACATTTCTTACAAACACAACAGATGCTGCTGCTACCTATGACATGGAAATTTAGGGACGTTAAACCTCAGCTAATCACCTAACAACATGTTTGATACTCTCTTGTCATGTCCAATACTGTGTACCATTCATGCATTATTTCTTTAAAAATAAGCTCTCCGGCTGTCTTTTATTTTTTTTAGTCCGAAGGCCTCATAGTGTCCATTCTTCTTATGTTTTTGAAGACTATAGCTTCAGTCAGCAGTAGTTATTCTGATACCGATGTGGCCAGGAGCCGTCAAAGAATAATCTTCCATGTATAATCCCACGATCTTCTTCGTGAATACCGTCAACCTACAATCACAATTAGATTTGTCTTAAGATGATTATAAGTTCATAAATGATCTGCTATAACATTTATTTAACGTCCAATCGAGGCTGGAAGTGTCAAATATTGAATTTATCCAATGCAGTTTGGCTGCGCAGGGCAGTTTTGGCTGCCACCCTAAAAAATCTCTCTCATTTCAATATTTGAATTTAGAAGAATATTAATTTTAGTATGATCGTAAGTTCGTAGACGGAGTTAAAAACGATCCTTCAAGAAAATTTCTCATTCTGTCATTTCAAAACTTGAATTTACTGCCTCAACCTCCAAATAAAATTTGTTTCAACTCATGCTTTCTGCAAAGGCTATGTCAATTTCACACACAAAGATCAATCAAAAGTGCCTTAAAAAGCAGATCAATGTATCACTTTTATCATGATTTACATCATTTATGCAATACAGAGTAGGGAAAGAGAATATTACCCAAAGATCATCTTCTCCATATCTATTAAACATTGATGATTTGCAAGTCTCCCGCACTTCATCGCTCCGTGCAAATCTTCCACGTATTCTTTGTCGATTGTCGGCCAGCGTCTTACGGCACACATACTTGTAACATCACAAGAACGTAATCACAACCACATTTTTAGTTCAACCATAAATCCCTACAATTGTTCAACCATAACATCACAAGAAAGGATTTGTTCAAGTCAAATGATGTTACCTTTATTGTCCTGTTGAAGTTTCTTCGAGATCTCTTTGCTCTGTATCTATCAATCCTTTCTTTCCTCTCTTCTGCACTGTACCTCCCTGCTTTAAAATTTGCTTCAGTAGATAATGGACTTGAAGACAATATATTTCTTGTTTGCATTTGTACTTTCATCTTCTGGAAACAGAAAATTTCAAACATAATCAGATTTTAATCGAAAACAATAGTGTGACATTTTAAGTTTTTAAATGAAGTGGTTTAACATGATATCCTATCAGAGTTGCCATATTTATGAAAAATTCTGCAACTGAAGCAAACTGACCTGTAAATCTCCAGAACTGCAAACCCTTCTCATTTCACCAGAAAAGAAACTGCCTTCTGGGAAATTCAGCATTTCATTTTGCAAATTTGGAGACTGAAAAGGATTATCAAATCGAGGCTGAAGCAGAAAATTCGGTTTATTTTCGAAAGAATTGCCGCTATAACTCCTCTGCAAGAACTTCACTGCAGATTCAGCAGCACCATCATGAATCTCAGGCAGAATTGAATTTCCATAATCCGAAAAACAGTCAAAAGGGAATTGATGTTCCTTTGTTTTAACTTCTAAAACAAAATCCTCAGCATTTGTTGAATGGGATAAGGACAGATTCTCAAACTGGGAAGAGGCAATTTGGTCCAAAGAATTGATTTCATCAAATGAGTTTTTTTCTTGAATCAAACTCAAACTATTTTTGCCATTTTCTTGAATTTCTTGGAAAATATCATGAAAAGGGTCAACCGGAGAATCAGAAAATGATGAAAATGGATCAGAAAAAACTGGGTTTTCAAATACAAATAAATCAGAAGACATTGACAAGAACTAATCTCCTAGAACAAGAGCTATCTTCACTTTTCTTGCGTGTCAAAAAATGCAGTTAATGCAAATCGGTGATGTAAAAACAAAACGTTGAAACAGAAAAACACCAAGTGAGGACAATTTAAAGAGGCTGAATTCTTTAATAAGATCCCGTCTCCATTTTTGTCACCGAACTTTGAGTAAAATCTTTATTAG